TCTTTCTTTCTTTCTTTCTTTCTTTCTTTCTTTCTTTCTTTCTTTCTTTCTTTCTTTCTTTCTTTCTTTCTTTCTTTCCTTCCTTCCTTCCTTCCTTCCTTCCCCTATCCTCACATTCTGTCTCTCATTCTTCTTTACAACAAATATTTATTGAATATTGACCATGTGGTAGTCACTGCTAAGTGCAGGAAAAATAGTGGTTAACAAAATAGACATAGTCTTGTCTCCCATGGAGTCTAGAGTCTAGAGTGGCATAGAGAACATTTGTAAGCAAAGCATCTTAAATTTTTTTAAAGTATAATTCTGTTAGTATTATGAAGAAAAAATGCATGGAACTCTTCTTTTCCCATTGTGGTAAGAACATAACATGATATCTATTATTTTAACTTAATAATTTACAGTACTTTTGACTACAGGCACAAAGTTATACTACATATTTCTAGAACTTATTCATCTTGTAAAACTGCAAATTTAACCCCATGGAATAACAAATCCTCATTTCACTCTCTCCCAGCCCCTGACAACCAACATTCTACTCTTTGTTTCTATGAGTTTAACTATTTTAGAAACCTCATATGAGTAGAATCATGCAGTATTTGTTCTGCGACTGGACTTAGCATAATGTCCTCCAGGTTTATCCATGTTGTCACAGGCTTTCTACTCCCCTATTTTTATTGAATTTATTGGCGTAACACTGATTAACAAAATTACGAAGGTTTCAGGTGCACAATATCACAACACATCATCTGTACACTATATTGTGTGTTCACCACCCCAAGTCAAGTCTCCTTGCATCACCATTTATCCTCCCTATACCCTCCTGCACCTCCCGCACTCCCCTGGCAATCACCACCCTGTTGCCTGTGTCCACGAGTTTTTTTGTCTCTTTTTTCTATTTTCCACAATCCTGCCCCAAGCAGCTTGCTCCCCAACCCTTTTTTAAAAAAATAAAATAAAAGATTGAATAATATTTCATTATGTGAGTATGTCACACTTTCCTTATTCATTCATCTGGTGATAAACACGTAGGCTTTTCTATGTCTTGGCTATTGTGAATAATTCTGCAATAAATATAAAAATGCAACTATCTCTTCAAAATCCTAATATAAATTCTTTTGATTATATGCCACAAATGAGATTACTGGATCATATGGTAATTCTATTTTTAACTTTTTGAGGAATCCCTCCCCCCATACACTGTTCCCATAATGGCTGCTCCATTTTACATTTCCACCAACAATGAACAAGGGTTTCAAGTTTCTTTATATCCTTGCCAATACTTGTTATTTTCTGCTTATTTGGGAGGGAAGGAGGGTTCAATTGTAGCTATCCTAGTAAATATGTGGTATAGTAGTAAATTTTAAATCAAATTTTAATAGAGAAAATTATTATTTTTTCTTAAATATATTTTATTGATTTTTTACAGAGAGGAGGGGAGAGGGATAGAGTTAGAAACATCAATGAGGGGGGGGGGAAGGACACATATGTAATACCCTTTGTAATACTTATTTATAATATTTTTTTAAAAGAATAAAAAAAAAAGAAAGAAAAGTGGGAGTATGCCCAGCTGGTATTTCTCAGTGGCTGACCATTGACCCAGGAATCAGGAGGTCACAGTTCAATTCCTGGTCAGGGCACATGCCAGGTTTTGGCTTGATCCCCAGTATGGGGCATGCAGGAGGTAGCCGATCAATGATTCTCTCTCATCATTGATGTTTTTATCTCTCTTCCTCTTCCTTCCTCTCTGAAATAATATATATTTTAAAAAAGAAAAAGAAAAATGTGAAAGTAAATACCAGGAAAAAACTGTTGAAAGAATTAGAAATGCATATTCCTGGAATGTGGACTTGAGGAGGGGCTGGACAGAATGTGGGGATACATGGAACAGACTGACAGCTGTCAGAGGGGAGGTGGGTTCTGGATGAAAGATGATGAAGGGATTACCCAAGGAGCATATATGCATAACCCATAGACACAGACAACAGTGTGGTGATGGCCAGAGGGAAGAGGGGAGGGGAGGGGCTAGGTAGAGGAGGGCAAAGAAGGTGGTAATGGGGACATTTATAATTGTGTCAACAATAAAAATAAAGAAAACCGAAAACAAGAGATTCAAATAAAATGTTGTAGAACCCTAGACCTACCCTGCAGCCACCTCCCATGTAATCAAATGCCTGCCAGACAGTCAGAGTTCATAGCTATCATCGCTGGGAAAATTGAGAGGTTGGCCCTCCACGTGGAATTCTGTTAATCCTGGCATCCTAGCTCTCTACACTGATTGTCTCCAGAATTGCACATCAGTCAGGAAGGGAGATGGTGACCTCAACAAGTTCCTTAACTTCCCTGGGTTTCTTCATCTGTTAAATGGGGATGATAAACCTGGCTCAGAGGATGTTGTGAAAAATAATGAAAACGATGCAGAGTTCTGGGCACACAGAATAGCTCAATAACGTTAGTTTGGGTAATTATTATTTCCTGAAAACAAACAACCCACTCATCACTAACAGGTGGAAAAGAGGGTGTCTGCCAAAGTGGGCATCATTTGGGGCCAGAAAAGTCTTTCTTGGGCTGATTGCACCTTCCTCTCTTGTTCTCCAACCTCCCTGCTTCGGGGCTCCCTCCTCCTTGGCTCAGGCCAAGATTCGCCAAGAGCTGTGTCCCTTCCTGGGTGATGTCCCAACTCAGCTCTGGAATTGACGCAGGAAGTGGGGCAGAAAAGGAGCTAGGTGTTATGCTGAGGCTAGCAGGTGGTGTATTGAGTTCAGATGTTGCAGATTATGACCTGCTGAAGGAGGAGGCACTACCTACTCACGGGATCAACATGACCCAGGGGTAGATCTCTGCATCTAGCGGTCACTTGATTGAAGTTGCTGTTTCACACACCCACACAAACACAAAGGAAGGGTTTTGCTTACAGATGCTAGGGTGGGTGTGGGATGAGTCTTCCGGGTGCAATGCCTAGGGAAGGAGTCCTCTCCCTGCCAACAGCCAGCTGGAAGTGGAGAAGAACAGGGTAGCAAACACCTATTCTATACCTGGGCGGAGATCACTAACTTTCCCAGGGCTGAACTCTTGGTGGTTATTTTTAAACAGTGTCCCAGAAAAGCAAAGCGGGAACTTAGGGCGGTAATCCTCAACTCAAGTCCTTATCTAGATGTCCAGACTCTTGGTGTGAAAAGGGCGACAAATTGTGAAATGCCCAGGCAGCGGTGGTTTAACGCATTCCAGTCCTGCCCAGGTCAGCTGGGGTGGGGTGGGGCAGCTTACGGTAAAAAGGGGAAGCCAGTCCAGCGTGCTCTCCAAAGTCCCCGCGATGGCTGCCCAGGGCTGCGCACTGTCCTGGATGTCGCTCAGGCTCCCTGCGCTGCTGCTGCTGCTTCTGCTGCTGCTGGCGCCCGGCTCTGCGGGATCCTCAGGCGCGCGGTGGAGCGGGGAGGGTACCACCCCGCACCTGCAAAGCATCTTCCTGGGCCGCTGCACCGAGTACCTCGCGCTGCCGAACCCCCAGCTGCGGTGAGCTCGGCAGGCAGGCAGGCAGCAGCGGACGGACCTGGGGGCGCAGAAAGGGAGCGGACTGGGTGGGCAGAAGGGGCATAAGTGTGTGGGAGGGAGGAGGAGGAAGAGGAGGAGGAAGTGGGCCCTCTGGAGGCCAGGAGGTTGTGGGGAGGGAGGAATGGGTTCTAAAGACCAGGGGTGTGCGGGAAGTAAGGGGTCCTGAAGGGAGGGTGGTTGTGTGGGGAGGGCCGGGGTTCTGAAGATCAGGGGAGCCAAGGTTAGGGGAGTCTGGGGGGTGACAGAAATGGAGATCTGTCACATTGCGATGTGGCTTTTTCTTTTATAAACGTGTGTTCCTGCGCAGGGACAAGAACTGCACAGACATCTGGGAGGCCTTTCAAGCGGTGCTGGCTAAGGACCCCTGCTCCGTGCTGCCCTCCGACTACGACCTTTTCATAAACCTCTCCAGGCACTCCATTCCCAGAGACAAGGTAACTGAGGCGCTCACGCGTGGCTCTGTCTTTACAGAGGTCAGAGGTGTGAGATTCGCGGTCTCCAGTGTGGCTGAAACATCAGCCACAACCTCCCAGAGCGCTTGCCCTGTGGGGCTCTGGGTGGGAAGGTGCCTTTATCTTCACCAGTGATCCCGGCCTCCTGCCTGCCTGGGCAGAAGGAGATTTCCTAAGTCAACAAGTCAGTGCAGGAGTCACAAAGGACATCTGGACGTTGCCACACTCCCGCCCTGGGCCTCCACCCAGGCGGAGTCTTTCTGTTTTTGTTTTTTGTTAATCCTCACCGGAGGATATTTTCCCATTGATTTTTTAGGGAGAGTGGAAGAGAGAGGGAAAGACAGAGAGAAACATGGATGTGAGAGAAATACATTGATTGGTTGCCTCCTGCACAAGACCCAACCAGGGCCTGGGCTGGGGAGGAGCTTGCAACCAAAGTGCATGCCCTTGACCAGAATCGAACCCAGGACCCTTTGGTCCACAGGCCAATGCTCTATCCACTGACCCAAACCGGCTAGGGCCAAGGCAGATTCTGGGTGACCTCTGTCCTCACTGACCTTGAGTAATTCAGAAAGTGCTCAACGTCAAGTAGCCTCCCAGAAAACCCATTTCTCCTTTTAATGGGCCTTAAGGTTATATCTGTTCAGTTCCAGTTTAAGAAAACCACATATCTGTACATTCTAATATAATAAATGAATGAAGTTATGTATTTATGTATTTATTTATTTATTTATTTTGGTTAATCCCACCTGAGGATATTTTTCGATTGATTTTTAGAGAGAATGGGAGAGGGAGAGACAGAGAGAAACATTGATGTGAGAGAGACACATTAATTGGTTGCCTCCTGCACGCACCCCGACCAGGGCCGGGAACCTGCAACCGAGGTACGTTTCCTTGACCGGAATTGAACCCAGGACCCTTCAGTCTGCAGGCTGATGCTCTATCCACTGAACCATACCGGCTAGGGCTGAAGGTTACTTTTGAAATCAGTGGTGGGGAGCTGCTGTGGAGCCCCTGCAGTCAGCAAGTGTGGTAGCCGTGGTGTATGGTGGGTGCTCTGAGCTGTGGGTGCGCCAAGCTGTGGGCCTGGCCATGATGCGGCAGCTCTCTCTAGAGCAGGGCATCACCCTTCACAGGGCCTGAAATCGTTTTTCTCACTTGGCATCAACATCACTTTATATCAGAGTGACATTTATCCAGCTGAAACCTTTACTCGAGCTCAGAAATAGGGACTCATCCTTGCTTGTCACCACTGATACTGAGTCCATGAAATACCTAAATCATATGATGGAATTATTAAAAGACCTGTTAGGCAAGTGCTCAGTTCAGAAACGTGTGGTAGTCATCTCAAATATTTAAGTAGTGAAGTCCTTGAAAGATGGCAGTTTGATACTGAGGGTACAAGACTGCCAAAGATGACAGTACACCCAGAGACAAGCTCTCCAAGGTGAAGTCCGCTTGGCACTCACACAGAACACAGCTACGGTGGCAGAGGAGGCTTCCTCATCTCCACATGCAAAGATTTGGCTGTACCTGCAAAGTGGGAAAGTTGGGACCACAGTTTATAACCAATTCTGAGCAAGTCCCTCTGCCTTCCTTCTGTTCTAAAACCCATAAAGTAAGCAGCTTGGTGCCCAACAAAATCCTGTCCATGACTGGAGATGGGACAAGAACAATAATGGAATTGAAGAACAATGATGTAATTCTCAAATGTGTGTTTCCTGAAACCAAGCCAACTATCGTTCCTGTTTTATTTCATTGATTAATTTTGAGATGGGGAAAACAACATTATATTTTACTGAACTGTGCATAATTGTGCCTTTTTTTTTGGTACCTGTTTGACTTTCCATCAGGTTGACATAATATTTTTGGCCACTGTTCTAAAGGGAACCAGCAGGTTACATCAGCGCTGTATCGTCAATTCCTTTGAAGATGGTAACTGTAGATGGAAAAACTTGCTATAAAGCTAAATGCCTTCCTAAGTTAGATCTTTTGGTCATGTAGCTTGACTCAGAATATAGGTAAATATGAAACACAGCAAAAGAAGTCTGAATATTCAGAATCTTTACTTAGGTCCTCAAGTAACTGATAATCCACAATCACAAAACATCCCTACTAGGTCCTTTTTGCCATTTGTTTCATTTGAATAGTTTCCATATTGAAAAAAATCTCCAATTATTTGATTTTAGTGTATATAATTTACACTTACAAAGCTATCGCTATTTCTACTCTTTAAATTCCCGTAGTACAAAACTCTTAAAAATGCCTTTGTTGTGTTTTATAAAATCAGGCTTTAACAATGATAAAGTTAAATGTGTATATTTAAAAAAATAATAATTAAGAAAAGTGGCCTAAAATGTTTTCTTTGAACAGTGCCTTGAGTTTAAAGACTGTTAGAGAGCATTTCTATTTCTCTGACATAATAATTCTTAACTTGATTTTTAATTGTAAAGTCAGGTAACATTGATGGTTACAAATGGAAAAAAAAAATCTTAACACGAATTTTTCCCTCTGTAAAAGAGGTAAATGGAGCCAGGAGGTTCAGAGATATAATAGACCAAAACCACGATTTTTAAGTATATGTTGAACCTTGCTGCTTCCCTGACAGTAAAGAGAGGAGACATAAATTTTATTCTCCTCTCTTGTCGATTTTGGTTCTAGTTGATGAACTCAGTAAGTATTTACTGAGCTACTTCCAAGTGCTGGGCATTGTGCTAAGGGTTGAGGATGCATCAGAGAACAAAACAGCCCTGCCCTCCGGGAGCTTCCTGTCTAGGCAGAGACCAGTTGGACTACTGAGGATCTGATGAGATAATGAGTGAGCGGGGTGTTGCCTTTTGTCTTATTTTTATGTGAGAACAGTATAACTTTGTTTTCTTTTTTAAATTTTATTTTTCAATTACAGTTGACATAATATTTTATATTAGTTTCAGGTGTACAGCATAGTGGTTAGACAATCATGTATTTTACAAAGTGATCTGTCAATATTTCAAGTACCCACCTGGCACCATACATAGTTATTACAATATTATTGACTATATTTCTTATGCTTTACTTTACATCCCTGTGACTATTTGTAACTACCAATTTGTACTTCTTAATCCTTTTATTTATTTTTTGCCCAGTTCCCCAGCACCCTTCCCATCTGTCTGTTCTCTGTATCTATGAGTCTGTTTCTGTTTAGTTTGCTCATTTGTATTATTCTTTAGATTCTACATATAAGTAAAATCATATGGTATAATCTTTCTCTGTCTGACTTATTTCACTTAGCTTAACATCCTCTAGGTCCATCCATGTTGTCGCAAATTTTTTGTAAATTGTTATATGTACCACCTCTTCTTTATCCACTCATCTACTGATGGGCACTTGGGTTGCTTCCAAATCTTCACTGTTGTGAATAACATTGCAGTGAACATAAGAGCGCATATATCTTTTTGAATTAGTGTTTTGGGTTTCTTCAGATATTTTTCCAGAAGTGGAATTTCTGGGTAAAAATACTATAACTTTATAGTCAGAATATTGCAGAATCATCTTCCAAAATTCAGGTTTTATACCCGCTGCTCTAGTAACACAAACATTGAAACACTGGTGCGTGGAGACAGAGAAAGGTTTATTCGATTTTTCCAGGGCGTCCAAGAGAGCAAGATCTCGCAAACCCATCTCTCCCCAAAAGCACAGCATGAAGTTTTTATGCAGCTTGGGAGTAGGGGATGGGTAGTTCCAGGGAACTGAGAGAGAAGTCTGTGTTTCTTTAGTCACAGGTAACATTTTGTGCAGCCAGACTCCTGGGCGGCAGTAACTCATCATCACTGCTTTAGAGACATTCTTTCCTTCTGCAAGGCAAACTCGTAAATTTCCCTCAGGACCCTGAAGTCATCATCTCCTGTTTGACAATGAAACCCCACCGCAGCAACTTAGGACACATTCTTAAGAAGAGAAGAGCAGTTAATGTGAACAAAGGCCTAACAGGAATTAAATTAATTAATTCTAGCTGCCCCCAAAATGAGGGGCACTAAAATCACCTGGGGTTCAGCTACAGGAACTATAAAGTATAATATAAAAGGAATATATTGCATAGCACCCTAAACACAGCTGTGGAAGAAGAGGCGGGGCTCACGCTCTCCATTTTCCAGATGTGGAAGCTGAGGCACAGGGAGAGAATATGCCTTGGTCAAGATCACACATCTAATTCATCACAAACCCAGGTCCCTTGATCTTCTTTTAAATCCAGGGGTCTTCATACACACATGGGCACACACACACTGTATTGTACTACTGGGAAAATATTTCACTAACATTTGCAGGATACCCTTGGACTAACAGGAAGAAATTAAGACCAAGAAAGGAAAGTGCATTTGCTGTGAGGCAGGTCAGAGTTGAATAAGAAATGGGTTGCCTGTCTGAGCTTGATGACATTGTGCCTGAAAAAAGTTTGTTTTGATTTCATTTTATATTTGAATGTTGTGTTTGTTTTTCCGTAGTCCCTGTTCTGGGAAAATAACCAGTTCCTTGTAGACAGCTACTCAGAGAATACCGGTCGCTTCATACCTTTGGGCGATGTTCTGTACGGCAGGACTGGGGATCTTCTGAGCTGGTGTCGGCAGGAAAATGCCTCTGGTAAGACTTCTGCACAACACACAAGACAAATAAGAGTTCTTGCCTGGCCAGCGTGGCTCAATGGTTGGGGGTCAACCTATGAACCAGGAGGTCACTGTTCGATTCCTGGTCGGGGCCCATAACCGGGTTGTGGGCTCAATCCCTAGTGTGGGGCGTGCAGTAGGCAGCAGATCAATGATTCTCTCTCAGCATTGATGTTTCTATCTCTCTCTCCCTCTCCCTTCCTCTCTGAAATAATAAAAAGGATTAGTTGTTTCTTTCTTAAAAAGGAAAAGAAAAATAAGAGTTCTTGCTTACTAGGCACTTGCCATTTGTGCTAAATGCTTTCATATGAATTTACCTCATTTCCTTCCCCACCACCACCACCAATCCTCTGAAGTAGGTGGTAATAATAACAATTAATCACCATAGCAGATAGCACCTATCTTTTGATGGGTATGTCCTAAGCACTTTATGTACATTAACTGCCGTAGACCAATTCCAGCATGTCATACAAGAGTTTCATCAAAAGGTTGATGAAACTTGGGGACTCAACAGGGTTGAGTCACAGATGTAGTCATCTGTTGGGAATGGCTAAAGACATTTCCCCAAAACAGCTGTAGGCTATTCCCCAAACTGACAATGCCTCTGTACCCTTTGAAACCTTACCCTTTGAAGTGTATTATCTCCACCTTGCCTTAGGACAAATTGTGTTAATAAAAGCAAGGGTCCTAGATAAGGAGGCTCTCTTCAGTTCCTTTAGCTGAAGGTCCTCTGACCCCCAGTGCCTTTCAAAATTATAACTCGTCTCCGGACTTTTATTAGTCTCTGGATTTCTATGTCATCTACGCGCAGCCCCTTTTCCAGATTCCTGAACCCTTCTTGATGCTGGGACATGAACCCCGGCGATTAACGGCGATTAACTAGTTTAATCCCCATGGGACAGGACCAATCCTAATTCATATTTTTGACAAATAAGGAAATTGAGGCACAGCAAGGTTAAGGAACTTGCTCAGGGGTGCACAGCTAGGAAGCAGCAGAGTCGGACAGCCTGACTCCAGAGCACGTGCTCCCCACCCTGCACAACTGAGCTTCACTCTCCTCATTTTCTGGAGGGGGAAGCTGAGGCTTAGGGAGGTTAAATCACTCGAAGAGGGAGAGGACAGGATTCAACCCTTTCTGAAAGATCTGAGGCCTGGGCTCTGAAATGCCTCTTCAGGCCTCCAGCAGGTATTTCCAGATTAAAATCACAGTGAGAGTTAAGGTCAGGAGGACTGACCTGCAGGTAGGGACAGCTCTTCTCCTCCATCCAGCTCCCCTGCTAGGAGCTGGCAGCATAAAGCCTCCCGACCCTCAGGGAGCTTATAGCCTTGAGAGGGACCTTTACCCATTATCGAGTGCTAGGACACAGGCGGGGCTGGGCTCCAGGGAGGAGCAGAGTGAGACACCAGCCAGACCAGGGGGTCCAGGAAGCTTCCAGGAGGCTCTTGGCTCTGGGTGAGTCTCAAAGGACAAGCAGGAGCAAGGCCAGCAGGGAAAGGAGGTGGGGGAAGGTGGTTCCTCCCCGAAGGCTAGAGATTCTTCCTCCCTGGGTATTAGAGATGTTTTAAATGTTAACCTAAGCACAGTTCTGCTTATTTTCCTCCATTCATTCTTTCATTCATCCATCCAACTAGAAGCCATAGAGTGCCTACTATGTGCCAGGCCCTGGGAATATAGCAGAGAATCAAACAGGAAAATAATACCCCCCCTTTTTTATTTTGATTTTTTACAGAGAGGAAGGGAGAGTGATAGTTAGAAACATCGAAGAGAGAAACATCGATCAGCTGCCTCCTGCATACCCCCTGCTGGGGATGTGCCTGGGACCTTTTACTCCGCAGGCCGATGCTCTATCCACTGAAGGAGAGGGAGAGAGAGATAGAAACATCAATCATGAGAATCATTGATCGGCTGCCTCCTGCACGCCCTACACTAGGGATCAAGCCCACAACCCAGGCATGTTCCCTGATCAGGAGTCAAACTGTGACACCGTGATGGCGAACCTTTTGAGCTCGGCGTGTCAGCATTTTGCAAAACCCTAACTTAACTCTGGTGCCGTGTCACATATAGAAATTTTTTGATATTTGCAACCATAGTAAAACAAAGACTTATATTTTTGATATTTATTTTATATATTTAAATGCCATTTAACAAAGAAAAATCAACCAAAAAAATGAGTTCGCGTGTCACCTCTGACACGCGTGTCATAGGTTAGCCATATCTGTCCTAGTTCATAGGTCGACACTCAACCACTGAGCTATGCCAGCTGGGCTAAAACCCATTCTTACATTATAGAGGGGCAATAAGACAATAGACAGGCAAGTAAAATATATAGTCTTGCATAAGATTATAAGGACTACAGAGAAAAACAAAACAAGGCAAGAGGATGGAAGTGCTGGGCAGGGGGATAAATGATCATTAATAATACTCACCAGTTGTCCATAGTTTAAGAGCAAGAAAGTATAAAACAGGAAAATACAGAAATTACTTTTGGGACAAATACCACATAAAGCCGTGGCTGTCAGAAATGGTGGGAGGAGCAGTGGCAAGCCAGAGAGTTTGATTCCGATCCTCCGTGCCATGTACCATCCCTGGGACTTCTCTGAGGCTCAGAGATCTCTGAGAAATTTGGTCTCTGACCTGCCCCCGTGATAACCAGAACTATGTTCAAGACTAGAGTGTGTAATTTACAGAAGTAATTACCACTTTCTTATACTGATCCTCTCTTGAGTTATGCAATGGGCCTTGCACCTTAACAACATTACAGGTGATCACGTTTGCACCTCCCTGAACACATTGCCTGCCTTCAGGGACACATTGTGTCCTGCTTGGTTCTCCCTGGAACAACTTGTCAGTCAGCATGTTCCTTTTTTTTATTTGTTTTTTTTTAATAGAGTATATAGTGAACAAATACCATATATATCTACTGAATTATGTCCTTAAAGTTAATACAATTTAATATATTTGAACATGTTATAAAATGTCTATTTTCTGGCTAAGACTATCACTTTCTGTTTTTCTTGTATTTACTTCCAAACCAGGGCTAATTGGAGAAGGTACTTCTTCCAGTGAAGCAAAATTGTATGTGTTTTTTTTTTTTTAATCCCTTTACTAGCATTCCAGTAGAGAATAACCCAGCTAACATGCTGATGGCTGGCCAGGCTCACTCATTAGCCAACTGCTCAGTTCTTCACCTTCCTCGCATCTGCTCCGAGCAAGATGATATGTTTCCGTATCACGGATTGGGAGGACACTCACCAGGCTCCTGTGGATTGGGTGGGCAGAACTGTGACTGCTCAGCTTGAGCACATTGTGCAGAACACAGGCTGAATATATTTTTCAGAGCCAGAAAATACCTTTAATTAATTCTTCCCAATATCCTCTTTGAAATGAAATGTGTTTGTTTTCCTCCTAGGACTCGATTACCAATCATGCCCTGCATCAGAGGATTGTGAAGACAATGCTGTGGATTCTTTCTGGAAAAGGGCATCCATGCAGGTAATCCTGGGGTGCACGGCTAGGGGCTGGGCACAGTGGGGACCCCCGAGCATGGGACAGAGGGGGTCAGAGACGTTCTGAGACTGGGCCATCGGGTCACCACGTACCTTCTTAGAGCCTCACTTTCCACCTTTTCAGGACTCTGATTTAGTCTCTTTGCTCCATAAAGTTGTGTGGACTTGAGCTTAACATGGCACAGAGATGTCCAATTAGTGTTCATCAGAGATGAGGATATTAAATAGTCGTTATTGCTGTCAGGTGGTGGTGGTTGTTAGGATTTCAAATAGATGT